TTACACAGAAGCTAACGATTCAGTGACCGCTTGTCAGCCTTCATTCTGAAAAGGTCACATCACTTTCAATGAAGGTGCAAACAACTCTCTTTCGGCCACTAACAACAATTATGTGTTAGGTAAATGTACTACCAGGAAGGTCTTTCAGGGCGTGACGAGCTTTTTGAAAACGGTCTTTTGCATGATATAGGGGCAGATGCGGGACCACAGAACCATGTTTAATTTTTCCTGAACGGCCCTCTGAATACCAGAAAAGGGGGTCCCTAGTTCGATTCCTCTTGGTGACAAATTTTTGCATTTCGAGTTGACGTTCCAAAATTCGCGCAAAATGGAGTTCTGATTGTTCTGGTTGGTTCTAACTCCATTTTGCGCGAATTTTGGCACGTCAACTCGAAATGCAAAAATTTGTTACCACGAGGAATCGAAGTTATGGGCCTCCTCCATGAGGCAGCACTGTTTTACGAGCCGGCAGTTGAAACGGTTTGGTAAAGAGAAGGAATGGCTGATGAAGGTGCAAACCTTTTAGACTTATACGTCGTATTGATCCCGTGACTGACCCAACAACCCAAACGTAGACCGCAGGCGCTACACCACTGAAGAAGTCAGTGCAGGTACCTCCCTTTCCTTTCCCAACACCGCGCTTTGAGCCACGTACCTGGTAGTTTGAAGGTGGCCAACTCCAAAAAACCTCTAAAGGACTTTTTGTGCTGCGCGTACGGGCGTGACCTGCGTCATTCAAACACACTGTACTTCGCCCCTCCGCGTCCCATTTTCTGTCAGCGAGCCCTTCCTGCGCGTTCCAGGGCTGCGCGTAACAAGAAAAAAAGAACCACCCGAGTGAGAGAGAGCGGGAACGTGACCTGCCGTCATTCAACACACTTTGTATTTCGCCCCTCCGCAGTGAAATGTCATGTATGGAAATGCCGTCTATTCCCTCAAGGCTGAGAGCAGGCCGTGTTTTTTCATTAGCTTTACGTTAGATCCCAACTTACGGTTCCTATGTAGTCAAGAATTATTTGTTTTCTTATAATCCTTAAAGACTTCTTCGTTTCAAAGATAGTTTCTTTTTTTAGAATGTTACCGAATACAACACGGCTTTAAATCGACGAATTCCACAGTTACCAATATCAGTAGAAGAGGCTCGACGAAAAAAGCGACCTCGTGGAAATGTGGCTTTCATCGAACAAGAGGAGATAATTAATCCAGGTTGGTTGGGTTTCTCGATAGGAATCTCTAGAATGTCTGTGCTTGCAGTCTTTCTCCTTGGTACGAGTCTGCAGTAGAAGTACGGGTGGAATACCTTCAGCATGAAAACCCTATGTCGAAATGCAGAGCTCCGGACTCACAGGGTGTTATTTTTCCGTTGGCCGTCGACCCTATTATATTCCTGTTTGCAATAAGCTGTGTGGGTGCCAGTGCGTACTATAAACTTACGACTGTTTCTGCCTTCTGTATGTGTTTAGCAAGAGTCACCGCGCGATTTCGCACTTAGCAGTCTTAATCTCGTGCCTGGTCTAGGTGTTGCATGATTTGCATAAACACAGCACGTATTCTGACAAGCACACAGAAGAAATACGGCTGCAGAACACGCAACACCTGATTCAGATGCGAAGTCTGAATTGCAAATAGCTTATTGCTACGCGGTGACTTCCTGCTACGCAGCCGCTTTCTGTGTGTATGTCTAGATGAGACGTGGTCATGTCTTTATAAAGTGTGGAACTGTCCAACACGAGACCGCCTTAATTACCTAAGCGTTCTTGTTGTCTTTTTATAATAGTTGGGCCCGTTCCAATGCTAAATTTAAATTCGGTATGCCTGGTTCAGTAGCACTCTTCCGGTTGGGATGGGGAGGAAATCTCTCATAATTCGTTTGCTTCTCCTGCAATTGTTTTTTTTTCAATTTCAGCACACTTTTAACTTACATACATAGGTGCGTATTAATGAGGCCGAATGAAACATAGAGAGAATTCTCCCCCATCCTGAGCCGAGAGAGAATAGCACCGGGTCATGGGCAAAGAATTCTGGTGGTTGATGATATGCAGTTTCCTCACCCAGTTGGCCAAGTATCAACGTTGAAAGTGGGTAAAGGAAGGCCTGTGTTTGGGGGCTAGTCTTCGATTTCGTGTAGTTGTTGTGGAAAAGTGGTAGCTCGTGATAGTCACCTGTATAGATAGTGTAGAGGGTACCTTAGAAAAAACTGTAATTTTTTGCTCAGGACGGCGCTTATGGGCTACCATGTTCAGACTCATATTTGAGGGCCGTCATATGATCTACATGAAGACTGCAAACTTGTTAGACTTACTACTTTACGTAGTTGTTATAGTTCTGATCTAAAATTTCTCAAACATGGAATCTGATTCAGAAGACATTGATCCGAGCATTGGACGTTTCCGAAACCTTGTCGCTACTGCCATTATTTCTAACAATCCTGCTAAACGTACTGCTCCGGAAGTGAAGGGGCATGAACCGCCTCGAAAGGTGAGCAACTAAAAAATCTTCTGTAAGCTTTTTTCGGTTATGTAGCAGTAGCTGTGGGATGGTTTGATATTGAAGCGTTCTCTTCTAGATTGTTCGACCGTTCCGTGATGTGTCCTTAGCAGCGCCAATGTGCTCGACGCTAGGCGGAATGGCTTTGAACGCAGCTCCTGATTTGGAACTCTACAGCAAGACACTACCGGAACCCGGCATGCATAATAGTGAGTTGGATTTCGACCCTCTTCGTTTCATGGTCGTACGTTTTTTGCTATTCTTGTTATGGAGTGTTCAGAGTTGGCGATCGTACGTGCGATTAGGCGATTAGGCGATTAGTCTATAATGAAAAATATACGTATAGATTAGGCGATTAGGCGAGTAGGCGATTAGGCGGGGAAGACTACATACGTATTGATTGGTTTGCTCCGCCCATAGAGCGTTGTAGGCGAGTAGGCGAGTAGGCGATTAGGCGATCGCTCAATGGGCGGAGCAACAAATCAATACGTATCCTTCTTTATCGCCTACTCGCCTAATCGACTAATCGCCTACTCACTCACTCGCCTAATCGCACGTACGATCGCCAACTATGAACGATCCACTACCTGCGCGTTGGATGCATCCGCACGCGTGCGGTCGCGAAGCGGCTCTTTACTGAACATAGTAAATGTCTGTCTCGCTTATTTATTATCATATTTTCAAATGTGTTCCGTTTTACTAGTAGCTTTCATGGAAATGGGTAATGTTATTGAATAGCTTATAGCAGGATATCCTAGCAACCTTTATATATGCTGAATATTTTGCTATATTGAACGCAAGAACTTGGGAGGGTTACTCAACTCTACATGAACGCTTTCTACATCTTCTCAATATTGTTGGATTTCAAATTGTATCATATTTTTTATTCTTAACTCTTCTTCAGTACATCCCCACGTTGTGACTGTGGATAGTGACGAACCGCACAAGAAGAAATACGCAAAGGAGTCGTGGCCGGGGCGAAAACCGATGTCAGGCATTTTGTAGATATAGTCATCCACAGGTTACAGTAGTTCTCCCTAACATTTCAATCTCATCATTGTGTTTGTTTGTTTGTTTGTTTTCAATTGTTAAGCGTTGATTTGGAGTCAGCTGTTTTTTCTCGCTGAAATGCGAGCGTCATCATGTTCTGGCGCTGTTGTGTCGGGTTGGATTACTGTAAGAGATTCGATATATCGGACTCGGAATTATGAGTGTGTATAACTTGTTACCCTTGACTGTTTCATTCATCTTGATTGAGGCCTTTTGCATGAACGTTCTTTCTGGTTTTTATCATTACATTTATGAAGATCTGGACCCAAGGTGTTAGCGCCAATCCACAAATCATTACATGTACTTAATTTATCGATAAATATAAATGTTTCCCGAGTGTTACTGTTGTTGGTGTAGTGCTGGTGATACCTATGTTGAACATACTGTGTAATAGTCGTGGAACACTATGGATTTATTGATCGAGATATCGATTTGAGCTCACGATGGATGAAGAAGAAGAAAGCGTGGAGATGACGCCCGATGAGGCGCTACAGTTCATAAAAGGTGAGTTGATTCAAATGAATTTGTGATTAACTCAACAGAGGAGCTCAGGAAAAGCAGAAATGCGCTGAACGACTAGGGATATTCTGGTAAAGTGAAGGCGTCTGAGTTTATAAAATGTGGAACGGCAGCACAAGGAGTATGCGATTCGACAACGATTGTATTCATTGTGTTGTGAAAGAAGCGTAGTAGAAGTTCATTGGGAGTCTGATAGGAAGCGAGCTTCTTTTTGTAAAAAAGATTGGAATGAGTTCGAGAACGAGTCCCTTTATTAAGATTAAAGGCATGCCCCAGGATCACACTGGTGTGGCTCTTGCACACGAATGTGAATGTATTGGTGCCAAGTGGGCCGGCAGTGAAGAAAAAAGGAAAAGAATCCGTCGAAAACGCTCAGGTTGAGGGCTC